GTCTCCCTATACTGAGACAAATAGTTTTCCCTTGAACTATTAATAATTCATTTTAGAAAATTTTTAACTGAATATTTAGAGTCAAGAGAATGTAAGAAATAGAGCAGATACAGAATATGTTCTCAGTTAAATTATTGTCCATTTCTCTCATCAACTTTCAGTCCTCAGGGGATTAGGACTTTGTTTACTACATTTTGCACATTGTGAGTGATCAATATATAAATGCTGCATAGATGAATGAACATTAACGAAAATAATATGTAAGTATACAGTATAATGATAGTACCTTGAATAATGCAGTCTGTACTTTAAGAGAGTACATGTAATGATCAATACAAATGCAAAGAGGTTATAAATTATTTCAGAGTAGAAGCATCAGAAAATAATTTGTAAAGAGATAACATCTTACTTAAAACTTGAAGAAAACTGAATATATTCGCACCACTCATTCACTCTTCCTTAAGGAAGGAAATACAATTTATCTCATTCATGAGTTTTAGGGATAAGAATAGGGTGTGCATAGATTTTTTTTCCCTTCCCTATTACTCTTGCTAAGAGTCAGTCAGGCTGATAATAGAGATAGTAAATTGCTCCTTATTCTTCCATGACATAAATTTTACGTTATACCTCATGTAAAAAGCAGCCAATGATTGTGCAGTGCTGCCTATGCCTAATTCAGTAAGTCAGCCTAGTTCTGCAGTAGAGTGTTAAAAAGTCCATTGTTATCAAACATCCATGCCACATTCTGCAGCATTTGTATTAGCAGTATTAAGGAGATTTTTGTCCATCTCTGTATTGCTTGATCTCTTTCAATTATTGGCTTGGTAATTGCGTGTGTAAAGGAGTGCTATATAGTGGTACAGAAAGACACCAACTATTACTATTTATTGGGAGTTTATATGCCATATATTTTAGTAAATTATTAATGTATAGTCTTGCTCAGTCTTTTCATAATTACTCCAGAAAAGGCTATCAATATTAATTTTCCCTTTACATGCAGAGAAATTGAGTTTATAAAAATTAGACTCCTGGCCCAGGTGATGAATCGGTGTGCCCCTTTTTTTTACACAGAGCAGGAGGAAAGGAGAATGGCACAGTTGATCATAGCAATAATCAAGAAAATGGACAAGAAATAGAATATAATGTCAGTATTCCAATATTGTCTGTACACAGAATATAAAAAGATAAGTTTCATGCACGTACACACTGTAGGGTATATGTAGCTGAACAGAAACAAAATGATTAGCTCCATGCATACAATAGTTTGAATTACAATTACTGCTAGTTAGTGGGAGATGGGGGTAGATGCCTTATTTATATTACAGCATAGGGAGTAATCATGTGTAAGTTATTTCTAAATAGAAACTAATGCTTGGATGTATCTTTTAAATTTGAAATTATTTTCTTCTCTGGAAAAGGAAAGGGAGGTCTTTGAAACTTCTCTTCAGCAGTAGCAGAGAAATTTTACAGAGTTGGAAGGGAATTTATTTTTTACATTAGGATGATAGAAATTTCTCAAATCTTTGAAATAAATTTTCCTCTAGGAGTTAAGCTAGTTAAATTGCATATGATAGGAAGATGAAAAATGTCTTTTTGGATTACTCTATGAGAATGACATGTTGAAAGATAATGGTTTTAAAATATGATAAAGTACAGAGGAATTAAACCAGAACCAGCATGGAAACATTTCCTATGCTCATTCTGACTAGTGATTTTGCTCATACAAGAATGGAGAGGTTGGTGTTGCAGACTAGAAACCGTTCCTTTCATTGACCCTGTTCATCTTTATTCTTATGATTGGGTGTGGATTCAGTTATCTTCAGTTAATCTTTGTTATCTTTATGATTGTCCAAAAGGAAAACAAATAATAAGACAAACAAAACAAACTTCAGCACATCTCTGGAAGAGAAACCTGAATTGGGTGAGTCCAGTGGGTGTGCTGCCAAACATGGCTATACTGCACATGCTGAACTACTTCAGAGTGACAACATAATGGAGCTCCTTCACATCAACTTAGCAAAAATATCATATAAGGTCTTCAACATTACAAGAGATAATCATCATCACAGTGATAACTAAAGGAAGACACCTCCACTATTTTTAAAGCCTTATTACATGCATTATCTTGTTTTACAGGGAAATGGTTTATTCTTAAATATTTTATTCTTGTAAATAACATGAACAATAATAGAATATGCACAGAAAAGTTTCAATTTGAATATAGCAATTCATACTTTTAGTAAAGCTTCAGGTTATATCCATTCTTTTTTTTAACTTTTATTTAATGAATATAAATTTCCAAAGTACAGAATATTGATTACAATGGCTTCCCCCACATAACGTCCCTCCAACCCGCAACCCTCCCCTTATCCTTCTCCCCTTCCATTCACATCAAGATTCATTTTTGATTCTCTTTATATACAGAAGATCAGTTGAGCATACATTAAGTAAAGATTTCAACAGTTTGCTCCCACACAGAAACATAAAGTGAAAAATACTGTATGAGTACTAGTTATAGCATTAAATCTCAATGTACAGCACACTAAGGACAGAGATCCTACATGAGGAGTAAGTGCACAGTGACTCCTGTTGTTGACTTCACAAATTGACACTCTTGTTTATGGCATCAGTAATCACCCTAGGCTCTTGTCATGAGCTGCCAAGGCTATGGAAGCCCCCTGAGTTCACTGACTCTGATCATATTTAGACAAGGCCATGGTCAAAGTGGAAGTTTTCTCCTCCCTTCAGAGAAAGGTACCTCCTTCTTTGATGACCTATTCTTTCCACTGGGATCTCACTCGTGGAGATCTTTCATTTAGGCCAGGTTATATCCATTCTAAAAGAGGTCAAAAAGAGGCATTGTGACCCTTCAGAGGAATGTAAACATGTTCAATTCTCATTTTTTCCGTTACTTTACTGCTCAAAGATATAAACACAGAATGCTTCCAATTACAGCACATAGAATTTAATCTAGAAAGTTGCTGTAGTGCACGATTGAAAGCATGAACCTTTTTAACTTTTAATTTTCAAAAATATAATCTGCATTATCTGAAAGGAATGTAAGCAATGTATTTTATGAAATTGCTTCTTTTTACTTTTTTATTCATAAAAGAGAACACATTTCATGTATTTCACGTACCCTTCCACCCCCTCTCTCCCACTCTCTTTGTTCCTCCTCCTTGTCTTATTTTAATTTTTACAGTGACATACTTTCAATTTTCTTTATAATCACAAGCCTAACCCTCCACTAAAACAGAATTCAACTAGAAGTAGAAAAAAACACTGTTCCTCAGGAGTACACACAAGAGCTATGAACAGCCATAGCACCCTGAATGTACCTGATCTCATCTGAAATTATGTTTTCATGAGTACATAGTATTTATAAGATTTTTCTATTTAAATCCAGTACTGAAAGAAGCTCTAAGCATATCATTTGTAATGAAAAACACATGTTCATTAAAATATTAACTGTAAGTATTTGAATTAACACATGGAAAGATGATTGAGAGGTTTGAATATCATTACAAATCAAAAATTTCTATTACTCTGACAACATGGAGATCATTCGTCTATTTAGCAAAAGACACTGCAGTACTGAAAGAAAAAAGACTGAGTTGGCTTAAGAATGAATGGAAAGGAGAAGAAGAACCACTATATTCCAAAAGCAGTACCTATGAAATTTATATTAAATAAAAGCTTTCTAAAAAAAGAAGAGACATTTATTGTAAACAATATTGAAAAATTATCAGTAAAGGAGAAGAGTAAGATAGGATACTAGCTGGAGACATTGTGAATGAAGAAACTTTACAAAATTCCTTATTTTTTACACACCAGAGTCTAGAATATTTTGGTGTATATGGGGAGAGGGATAAGCTGATATTGAAGGTTTATTTATTTACTTATTTATTTATTTTTAAGGTGGCAACATTGAATGGGATCCAGTAAACACGTCTTAGAATGGATCTTGGACAAGATGAGAGACAATATGGTTCCAGAGTCAGGTGGTGAGGGAGACTTAAAAATATGTGAAAGTTCTAATATTCGGAGGAATTGAAAAGAGAGCTGTGGCCATCTGGGGAGTGAACCATCAGGTGGAAGACCCACCCCCCCTTGCCTCTCCTCTCTCTGTGTAACTCTGACTTTCAAATAAATAAATAAATCTTTAAATATATATATATATATGATACAAAAACTGGAAATCTTTTACCTCTTCCAATTTTTATTTTTTGTTATCATTTGCTATTTTTGCTGTTGATTTTTTAGTGAGATTCCATGAATATTTTTTAAAAATCGGTGTTCTTTATCATATACAAGCACTGTCATCTCGACTTGATAGTTAAATGGTCAGTTACTGATTAGAAAAAAATACTAAAATAGCTTGAACTCATAAATCTTCCATGTTCTTGCCTTGTGGACCAATGTGTGTGTTAAATCCTGTTTTTGTGTTTATACCTCTGCCTATAAAGAACCTCAGTGTCAGTCACAAGTGATTAATTTGGACTTTGTTATTTCTTTATTGACCATGCAAATCCTAGATGCTTGGAGGTTTTTAATGACCCCTGTATGGGGCCGACACCATGGCTCACTTGGTTAATCCTCCGCCTGCGGCACCAGCATCCCATATGGGTGCTGGATTCTAGTCCCGGTTGCTCCTCTTCCAGTCCAGCTCTCTGCTGTGGCCTGGGAAGGCAGTGGAGGATGGCCCAAGTGCTTGGGCCCCTGCACCCACATGGGAGACCAGGAGGAAGCACCTGGCTCCTGGCTTCAGATCGGCACAGCGCTGGCCATGGCGGCCATTTGGGGGGTGAACCGATGGGAGGAAGACCTTTCTCTCTGTCTGTCTCTCTCACTGTCTAACTCTGTCAAATAAAAAAAAAATAAAAAATATAATTTTAAAAAATTTAAAAAATAAATTTAAAATTTAAAAGTGAGGTTCCATACAGGAAACCTCATTTGACAATTTTTACTTTTTTTTCTATTATTTTTCTAAGTCTGTTGAATGTCCCAACTGGTACTAATACCTCAGGCTTTTGCAATGTTAAATAATTACCAGACTTTTTTTTTCAACAAATACCCTAGGATTGCTACTATTTGCACTGGATGAGTCCTAAAACAGGTCAAGTGAAAATATGTCCTGAGAATGGAGTTACTCAGAAAGTGGTTGGACACATCATATAGTGCAAAATCTGAGAATAGGGCTTTCTTTTTGTTTCACATGCACTGAGTTCCCTCCAGTGATTTTTAGAATGCTAGCTCCCGCTTAAGGTCACTGCTTCTTACAGAGATGTTTTGGAGGCTACCACAGAGTTGGGACAGAGATATCACAACAGAGCAAGAATAAATGCTAGAGTGAGCTCTGTTACTCCACTATGTTTTTGAAAATAAATAATCCTCCTCTGATCATTGTAAGCTTTTAGTTAATTTGAGAGCCATTTCAGGTTAACTTTGTCAATTATTTTCTGTTTGTGGTGTTGTTAGTGCTTTTATGGAAGAGTAGGCTTACAAATTTCAGAAATTTCCCTTGAATAAATACTCCATGAGTTGCTCTAATGCATTCATTAGTTACCAGGATTCTGCAAATCTTTATTCTAGCATCCTTTGGCCAATTTCTTCATTGATTTTATAGAGGAAAATATTTGATATATTTTTGTTGACTATTTTTGCTAGTATCCCAGCCTTTACTTATTTATTTATTGTTTTGACAGGCAGAGTTAGACAGAGAGAGAGACAGAGAGAAAAGTCTTCCTTTTCCGTTGGTTCACCCCACAAATGGCCGCCATGGTTGGTGCACTGCGGCCAACGCACTGTGCCAATCCGAAGCCAGGAGCCGGGTGCTTCCTCCTGGTCTCCCATGCAGGTGCAGGGCCCAAGCACTTGGGCCATCCTCCACTGCCTTCCCAGGCCACAGCATAGAGCTGGACTGAAAGAGGAGCAACTGGGACAGAATCTGGTGCCCCATCAGGGACTAGAACCCCGGGGTGCTGGTGCCGCAGGCGGAAGATTAGCCTAGTGAGCCACAGCGCCGGCCTCCCAGCCTTTACTTATTTGAATATAATTTTCTACCTCTAGAAAGTCAATTTGTTGTTATCTTCTATTTCTTTACTTAGCTATGTTTTGCCCTAAATACTGATACATTTTTGTAACACCTTTTTAAATATTTTTCTTGAGTTTTTATCATGCTTCTAATATCTGAGTCTGTTTCTGCTGATTTAGTTTTCTTTTGATCATTGGTATATTTTTCTGCTTCTTAGCACGTGTCAGAATTTCTCATGTGCTAGATATTGTCATTTTACATTGTTGAACGCTTGAATTTTGATGTTATAATGTGTTGATGTTTATCGATTTAGTTTGTGCAATAATTTAAGTTACTTGAAGTTCCAGTTGACCTTTTAGTGGCTGATATATAGGCTTTATACACACATATTTTATATGAAATGTAGAGTGAATTCTAGGACTCTTCTATACCTACTGTTAAATGGTAATCCTTCTAGAGTCTCTTCTTAATGCTTTGAATGTTTAATATTAGTGTTTGTTTTAAGATTTATTTATTAATTTGAAAGTCAGAGTTAGAGATGGGGGGAGGAGAGGGGGTCTTCCATCTGCTGGTTCACTCCCTAGATGGCCGCAATGCACTGATCTGAAGCCAGGAGCCAGGATCTTCTTCTGGGTGTCCCACGTGGGTGCAGGGGCCCAGGGACTTGAGCCATCTTCTACTGCTTTCCCAGGCCACAGCAGGGAGCTGGATCAGAAGAGGAGGAGCCGTGACTAGAACCAGTGCCCATATGGGATACAGGCGCTTCAGGCCAGGGCATTAACCCATTGTGTTAACCTGCTGTGCCACAGCACCGGCCCCCATATTACTGTTTAATCTCTCCATTCTGGCTGGATGGAATTCAAAAATGTCCATGTTTTGTGTAACATCTAGTATCTGCTAACCCAATATGTTTCTGGTGTTTTTTTACATTTATCTGTCCTTTTAGAGTTTAATACTATACACACACAGTTTATGATTTCTCATCTTGCTATTTGTTGAACGCTTTACTTAGTGTAGGGTTAATGAGTATGAAGTAGACTGAAAGTAGATCACTGTACAAATTAAGAGAGGGAATAAGGAGAAGCAGGAGAAAGGGTGGCATTGTGGGCAGGAGGGAGGGTAGGGATCTCTATGAAGAAAGTTACATTTCTTATCCTGCTTATTTCCTGACCCTGTAATTATCTACTCTATTATTTTTACATTCTTCATCTTCCCAAAAGAACTGATAGTTTCTTACTTATCTCCACAGGACCACTATAGTGGCTTCTTTTCTCCTTTTTTGTTTTGCTGATTTAGTGCTCAGCTCCTTTATTTCCCTTATTTTAGAAATCAAATTCCCAAACTCTTTGTTTCCCACGTCCTGGAAACAATTGTTTCTTATATGTTATCCATTTTCTAGGGTTGTTTTTTTCTTAACAAACAGGAGATGAAGTCTTGTTATCAGTTAACATATGGTGAATAGAGCCTTCTTTGTAAATGGCCTGTTCTCCCTTCCAGAATGCCCACATTTATCTATTTATCCTTGAAATTCAGTAACTTTTCTGCTGAATGTTCTGTGCTGTTTTTTCCCTGAGATACATTCTATCCACTTCATCCCTATATTAAGGACCTTCTTACCCCTCCTGTGTCAAGCTGCGTTCCTCATTCTTTGGGAAGACAGGAAGACGGAGCTATGTGAAGTGAACATATTTTGTCTGGATTTCAGGTATTCATTTTAAAATTTTAAAACCTGTTTTGTACTTTGCTTTTATTTAGTATAATTTCTTCATTTTTTTTCTATTAAGCCATACTATGTCATCAGTAATACTTACATTATTTTTTTTTTTTGGTTCTAATATGATCTTTAGTTCAGCTGTCTACTTCTGTCTTTCCTCTTGTTTTCCTGATTCTCCTGCTACTGGTTTATTATCTAATATTTGAAGTTCTGTGTTTTTGAAATTCTGTTCTTTCTACTCAACTCATGATGTTTGTAACGTTTTTCAAAAATAGTCATCTGTACCTGTTTTTTGATTTTTTCCTGTGATGTTTGTTATTCATTGACCTCTTGATCCTGTTTCATTTATTTTTGATCTAAATAACTTTTAAAAATTTGCTTAATTTGATGTTTATTTCTTTGAAGCTATTATTCATGTTTTAATGGAGCTAGCCACATTTCGCAATTAGGAGCAAAGATAATGATGTGAGGATGCCAGTAAATTTAATTTCGCATAGTTTCCTGCAGCAATGTCTCAAAAAAATGTATCCCTTATTCCTGGTGGCATGTCTTCTCTTAGTCACCAGCGTTCAAATGGCTGGTTATCCATAGGAAATCTCTTTATTGCTAAGCTCTGTGTTTCATTCTACAATGATTCATGTTTCCCTTCCATCATTTATTTCACTTGTCATTCCACCTCTGATGGGGCCAGATGGATATGAGTAGATAATTGATAAGCATGTTATAAAAGTATGGGTTCTTCTTCAAATCCATCTTCCATTCCGTTCTGCAGTGCCTTTCTGGATTTTTATAGAGATAATTCTCTATTTCTCCAGTCAGCTACTCATCCCTATAAATCCAAGTATGTAAAAATATTGTGGAAAAAATATTAAGGATAACAGCAATTATTTTGGAGAAACTTTGATTTTTAACCATAGTGTATCAGTTTTCATATAATTTTAGTAGAATAAATATGCTCTTATGTACAGTGAGTAACTTGTTGCCTCCTTTGTAGAAAAAATAGAAAATAATTTGTGCAATTCTAATTCTCAAACTATAATGAAAGTCATTTGTGTAGAGGTGTTTTCAAGAGCTGAGTTTCCTTTAGTTGAAGGAAATTAATTAGACATTCCATAACTATTTGCTGCTCATGTGACCATTAAACCAACATAGGCATCTCAAACCTCAATCATTTGAATCCCAAACTCTCATTTTTGTTACATTTTATATGTTTTACTGTTCTGTATTTCCTGTATTATATTGAATATCAATTTGTTATCCTAGGAATATAATGCTATCACTATATGAATTCAGTCTTGAAAGACTTGGTCAAAGAGCAACAGTATGCAATTAATGTTAAGCACTTGTATCAATAAGTCTATTTCAATATTTTTATTCATAAAAATTTACCCAACTAGCTATAATTGAAAACATTTCAAATTTGGAATAGACAAATTAATAGAAATAGAAAGTAAATTAATATTTACTAGAGATTGGAGAGAGGAGGAAATGCAGAGTTCTTCCTTTTTAAAATATTTTTTTAAAAGTTTACTTGAAAGGCAGTTACCGAGAGGGAGGAAGGAGGAGAGAGAGGGAGGTTGAGATACTCCATCTGCTGGTTCACTCCCCAAATGGCCACAAAGGTTGGAGCTGGGCCAAGAGGAAGTCAGGAGCTTCTTCCGGGTCTCCTACCTGGGTGCAGGGGCCCAAGGAGTAGGGCTATCTTTTGTTGCTTTCCCAGGCACATTAACATGGAGCTAGCTCAGAAGTGGAGCAGCCGGGATTTGAACCAACACCCATATGAGATGCCAGCATCACAGGCAGAGGCTTAATCCACTATACCACAATACCACCCCCCCATAGATATAGTATTAGGCTGATAAAATCATTTTGATATAAATAATGGTGATGATTACACATTCTGTATATAGTAAATATCACTGAATTGCATAGCTTTATATTCTATTTTAACATAATTAAAAAAACTAAAAATGAATACAAGTCCTCCAAAAAGCAAAAATGCACATGATAACCATGGCCCCAAGCATTTGCAGAGAATATTATTGTTGGGAAATGCTCTCAATGACTTTTTCATAGCCTAGTGATATGAAGGGAATGTTTTTCATAAACATAGCTTGTCATGATGAAAAATAATTATAGTTCAATGGACTTTATTTTTAATTGAAGAGAAATTATGTTGATTGACAATGAAAATTTTTTGGGGGCCGGCGCCATGGCACACTAGGTTAATCCTCTGCCTGTGGCGCTAGCATCCCATATGGGTGCTGGATTCTAGTCCTGGTTGCTCCTCTTCCAGTCCAGCTCTCTGCTGTGGCCTGGGAAGGCAGTGGAGGATGGCCCAAGTGCTTGGGCCCTGCACCCGCATGGGAGACCAGGAGGAAGTACCTGGCTCCTGGCTCCTGGCTTCAGATTGGCACAGCTCCAGCTGTTGCGGCCATTTGGGGAGTGAACCAACGGAAGGGAAGACCTTTGTCTCTGTCTCTCTCTCTCACTGTCTGTAACTCTACCTGTCAAATAAATAAATAAAAATCTTTTAAAAAAATGAGAATTTTAATCACATGGTGGTGTTTGACTAATGTAAATCAATATTTTCTTTCTTGTTTCCATGACATGACAAAATATAATCATTAATGTGGGGTAGGTAACATGATTCTAATGAGAAAAGTACTAGTAATTTGGCATAGTTGTTAACTTCAAGTTGTGTTTTTTTTTCCTTGTGCTCCTCAAAGACCTTAGGCTTACACAGAGAACAAGAGCTTAGGCTTACACAGAGAACATTATACTGTGTGGAAAGTTTTCTATAATATGTAGAATTTATTAGTTTGATTCCTCAGTCTCAGAATTAAACATTGCTTCTGTTAAAAAAATACTTTGTGATTTTCACAGTCCAAACGAGGCACACCCTGATATTCCCTATAACTGTCCTTTAGAGAAGTTGACTGACATAATTCATCACTACTGACAATTATGTGTTTGCTATCTGTACTCCCTTCAGGACTATGTGTTCCATGAGCATAAAAACAGTGTCTTTGTTTGCTGTTGTATTCCCCTAGTTTTCATTTGTACTGGGTATTATCTTTTTTATCTAGAAAGACGTTTTGTTTTGTTTTGTTTTGTTTTGTTTTGTTTTTCTTTCAGTGTGTTCCATATGCCCTTTTCTTCTTTTTGTCTCTCATTTTTCAGCACAATAATATTCTTGCAGTTCTTTCCTGACCATTCCATGTATAACTTTATCCAGTTCAGGTTTATTGTACCTTCTATTTTTGTTCAACTTAGGACTTTTATTTCTGTAATTAACATGTGTAAATTTTTCCCTCTGTCTCTCTCATCTAATGTAAGCTTTGTAACAGAAGAGAAGAAGAGACTGAATTTGTTTTATTAATCACTGTGTTTATAGCACCTAATATAGCACTAAGCATATAGTTGATACAATAAGCACATATGCTAGTTTTTAGAATTATTTTGGAAGATGTGAGCATGTATCATGAGTAAAAGTAAATAACATCAGCTAGAATATATATTTGAGTGGCATATATATATACATACATACATACATACACATTTTCTTTTTCTGACATGGCTGAATGGAATTCTATAGACACAGGCTAAAAATGGTTCATATTTAAGTTGACGTGACCTACTGCATATGGTCAAAAATTGTTCTTTAATGATAAAATTTTACTATGTATATTTACCTAAAATGGTGCTTTAAAAGTGTTGTGCATTTAAAAGTGTTCATTTGTTCAAGCTTGAGAACTCCCTGAAGTAATTGGAGCAATAAATGAGCAATCCTATAGTAGTCAATTAATATTCTGCAGAGATGCCTATACATTCATTAACATTTTTGAGCTCTTATTGCTTTACATTGTTCAAAGACAGTATTTTTTCAACAATTTTTTAAATTATATATCTCTTGTGAATGTTTTATTCCTGGCTTTAAGGCTTTCTTACCTAAAGCATACATCCATACTTCTAAACACTAAGGCATACTTTAGAGGCTTTTTTTTTTTACTGTAAATAGCAATAAAGCACACATAGTAAACGAAATCTTCTGTTTCCCAAGTGGAGATGGTGTTTTACGAAGCAGTGACACAACTGTAGTAGACTAATCTCAGATCTCTCTTTTCCAAATCTTTGTCTTATTAATTTTGTCAGGCAAAATATTATCCAAATAAATAGAAAATTTTAAAACTGGATCATGCTTTCAGAGATTCACTTACCTTTAACAATCTTCTGGAATCTTTAATACAAGTATGTACTATCTCAGAATCCTTAAATGTATAAAGGAATACGAATAGAAACAGAGTAATTCTCTCTCAGATATTAGCGATGGAAGAGGATAGGATGCATTACCTGTCAAAATATACCCAGCATAGTATTTAGATTTGAGAGATCACACAGGACATATCTTATCAAACAAATTAGTATTTTCTACTTTTGATTCGCACACATCAGTGGATATTTTAAAATATGAAATATCCACACAGCTATTGATCAATCACTAGACCTATTTATGTTAGGGGATGAGTAGAATTTTTCTTTCCTCAAATTCATGTAGATGTTTAAAATCTGATGTCTTAATGGTTGATTGATTAAGGTTGGAGACTTCATCTAATTATAATATGTGAGAGGTGTGACTGATGGAAGGTTTAGTTTACTGGGGCATGACCTTGGAGGGTGGTTTTCTTGAGACAATAGATTTTTTTTACTTCAAGTTCTGCCTAGCTGTTCTCTTTCCTTCCTTCCTTAGCATGTGATCATTCCTCCCTCACCTGTCAATACCAGCCTCCAACAGACACTGGATGATGGGGCCGCCCAGTCTTCAACTATATCCTCCAAATTGTAAGTGAAATAAAATTTTCTTTCCAAAGAAGCTAGATATTTTACTTGAGGTAAAAAAGTGAACTAATATAATCTATATCTATATATTTCAAATATACTTAAAATTGGCCAGCAAACTTTTATGGTTATACTTAATACTTTTTCTTGTAATTATGAAAAATCAGAATTGTAGGTAATATGCTTACCACAATTATTATATTATATCTGAATCTATGTTTCACTATATATTTATCCTTGCCTCTGAAATGTATAGTTTTATATGCTTTCAAAAGGTTCCAGGTTCAAAAACAGTAAACAGCAACAAGAAAGCATATAAAAGTACAAATATATACTTAAGCCCATTAAAATAAAAACAAAAAAAACTGATCTGACTATAAATATGGCATATTTGGGAAATAAAAAAAAACTATACTAAGAAAATAAAGAAAGAACAAAGCAAAACTATACATTGTTTCTTTGAAATTTTAAATTAAATGAACATCTTTTATTTTACCTGACAATTGGAAAGTGTTGCTTTTGGAAACATCTTTAAAATATAAAGTAAAAAAGTAAAAATACTAATAAAGCATATTAAATGATTATCAAAGTGCTTAGATGTTATATTTTAAAACTCATTTCTGAGTTCATAATGTAAAGACTTATTCATGGCCAGCGCCGCAGCTCAATAGGCTAATCCTCCGCCTACGGCGCCGGCACACCCGGTTCTAGTCCCAGTCCGGGTGCCAGATTCTGTCCCGGTTGCCCCTCTTCCAGGCCAGTTCTCTGCTGTGGCCTGCGAGTGCAGTGGAGGATGGCCCAAGTGCTTGGGCCCTGCACCCCATGGGAGACCAGGAGAAGCACCTGGCTCCTGGCTTCGGATTAGCTCGGTGTGCCGGCCACAGAGCCCCAGCCGCAGTGGCCATTGGAGGGTGAACCAATGGAAAAGGAAGACTTTTTTTCTCTCTCTCTCTCTCTCTCTCTCTCACTGTCCACTCTGCCTGTCATAAAAAAAAAAAAAGGTGTCTAATGATTTTTTGGTGCAATATTTGAAATCCATGCAAAATTTTTTATGTAATATGCATTCTAAATGAACTTTTTAAAATTTTTATTTAATAAATATTAATTTCCAAAGTACAGCTTTTAGATTCCAGTAGATTTCTCCCCCATAACTTCCCTCCCACCTGCAACCTTCCCATCTCCCACTCCCTCTCCCATTCCATTTACATCAAGATTCATTTTCAATTATCTTTATGTACAGAAGATCAATTTAGTATACACTAAGTAAAGATTTCAACAGTTTGCACCCACACAAAAACACAAGGTGTAAAGTACTGTTTAAGTACTAGTTATAGCATTAATTCACATTGTACAACACATTAAGGACAGAGATCCTACATGGAGAGTAAATGCACAGTAACTCCTGTTGTTGATTTAACAATTGACACTCTTGTTTATGGCATCAGGAATCACCCTAGCTCTTGTCATGAGTTGCCAAGGCTATGGAGGCATTTTGAGTTTGACAACTCCGATCTTATTTAGACAAAGTCATAGTCAAAGTGGAAGTTCACTCCTCCCTTCAGAGAAAGGTACCTCCTTCTTTGATGACCCATTCTTTCCACTGGGATTCACTCACAGAGATCTTTTATTTAGGGTTTCTTTGTTTTGTTTTGTTTTCCAGGGTGTCTTGGCTTTCCATGCCTAAAATACTCTCATGGACTTTTTAGCCAGATCCGAATGCCTTAAGGGCTAATTCTGAGGCCAGAGTGCTGTTTAGGACATCTGCCATTCTATGAGTCTGCTGTGTATCCTGCTTCCCATGTTGGATCGTTCTCTCCTTTTTAATTCTATCAGTTAGTATTAGCAGACACTAGTCTTGTTTATGTGATCCCTTTGACTCTTAATCCTATCATTATGATAAATTATGAACTGAAACTGACTAGTGAGATGGCATTGGTACCTGCCACCTTGATGGGATTGAATTGGAATCCCCTGACACATTTCTAATTCTACTGTTTGGGGCAAGTCCAATTGAGCAGGTGCCAAACTGTACATCTCCTCCCTCTCTTATTCCCACTCTTATATTTAACAGAGATCACTTTTCAGTTAAATTTAAACACCTAAGAATAATTGTGTGTTAATTACAGAGTTCAACCAATAGTATTAAGTAGAACAAAAAATACTAAATGGGATAAAGTATTAAGTTGTTCATTGACAGTCAAGACAAGGGCAATGTCTAATGATTTTATAAAATTTTCAAACACTAGCTATCATGGTGTGTACCATATATGTATTCTAGTTATGATGTATAATGCATAGAGCTGAATAAATATCTTGATGACTGACCATAACCCAAACTAAGTAAATCTCAAAAGAGAAGGGGGACAGTTTAAGACAGGATTCAGTGCTATTGAAGGTCACCAATCTGTTTCAACATGAATCCAAGTTTGAGAATCGCTATTCTACATTATTTTTATGTACTTTAAACATATTTGCACTCAGATATGAAGAAAATTTAAGTATTTGCCTTATTAGAACTTAGGAGAAATTAACGAAAAAGTAGAGCCTTAGGAAGTACTGGCAATATTGGTTCTTCTAAATGAAGATGTAACTCACGTGTGATCATCATGTGAAAATAAATGATAACAAATGCAATTGCAAAAATGAAGCATGTACTTGAGATTTTTGCTTGTGGAACACTCTGCCATAGCTTGAAATCAATATGGCTTTGGGGTTTAATTTTAGTATTTTTCTATGACCAGGACCACTGCATACTCCAAACTGAGCAAATAGCACCAAAACTTTGGCAATGCAATTGTCAAAACCTGCTTTTCTGATGAGTACTTAAAGCTTGGTTGGTTGTTTTCTTTTGTACATGCATAGCTGAACTTGACATATGAGCAAGTCAGGTATACTTACTGAGCCTTAGAAAAGATTATTAGTCTTCACGTGGCCTATAATCTTCAAGATGCAGCAATTGGAATAGATGGATGTGTTTTACCTTTGTCATTGTGTCAGGTAGTATCAATTCTTTGATTCAATTAGTTCTCATTTATACATATTAATGCCTACTGACTTCTTAGTTCTACTTGTGTGACCAGACAGTAACTCTCCTTTTACTCTTCCTTCTAGTGTTGTCTGGGCTTAGGGTCTCAGCGATCAGAGTAGAAATGTCAGTGGAAGGGATGGTGCCCTGGTTAAGAATTTTAAAAAAGCATTAATTCTTGCTCTGCTCTCTATTGCCTATTTCACTCAATTTTTTTTCAATGTCTTAGCTTCTTTATTTTTCCAACCAGCATAGTATAACACCTGCCTGAATGCCTCACACTGTTGCTGTGAAGATCAAATGAGTTTAGTATGTCATCTTATTGTGACACAGCTGAAAACTAATGGCAGCAAAAAGGGCAAATGGAGAAATCAAAAATGAGACACACTCATTGAGGTGGTGTGATGCAGCAATTGATCTAGGGTTAAGGAATATTTTCTCAATTTAGCAGGAGACAATGTCATTCCCTGACTGGAGTTTAGGGGCCCAGGGTTACAGAGGGACCTGGAGGCTTGCAGAGAGTGAAAATATTGGATCATCATTCCTTGTTCTCTAGGAATATAAGCTTCTTGGGTAGTGTTACCATGTAAAACACAGGACTCATAGTTAAATTTGAATTTGAGGTAAAAATAAATAAAATAATTATTATATGTATGTCCCAAATATTGCATGAGAAATACTCATGCTAAAATTATGTTGTTTATCTAAAATTCATATCTTATTCTGTATGCTGCATTTTCATGTACTGAATCTAAGAATTTTCATATTGGGGAGACTTGGGGTTGTAACTTTGTTCCTACTCTCCATTGCTGTGGAAAAGAAAGATTTGGGTATTAGTTCCTTATTATATACTTCAAGACATTGTTGATTGACCATATTACTTTAACATTAATAGCACTTTATAAGGCCGGCGCCGCAGCTCACTAGGCTAATCCTCCACCTTGCAGCGCTGGCACACCGGGTTCTATCCTGGTCGGGGCGCCGGATTCTGTCCCGGTTGCCCCTCTTCCAGGCCAGCTCTCTGCTATGGCCAGGGAGTGCAGTGGAGGATGGCCCAAGTGCTTGGGCCCTGCACCCCATGGGAGACCAGGATAAGTACCTGGCTCCTGCCATCGGATCAGCGCAGTGCGCCGGCCGCAGTGCGCCGGCCGCAGCGGCCATTGGAGGGTGAACCAACAGCAAAGGAAGACCTTTCTCTCTGTCTCTCTCTCTTACTGTCCACTCTGCCTGTCAAAAAAAATATTAATAGCACTTTATAGTTTAGTAAATGAATGAACATACCTTGTATGACTTACAAAAACCTTCTAAATTAAGCATCATAATGCCCACTTAACAGACAAGAAAACTGGAAATCAGATTGGTTAGGATGTTTAAATGTATAGTTTAAATGTATAGTTATAGTTTAAATGTATAGTTAGTGGCATATTAGATAAATTGGAAATTGTTGATTCCAAGGGCAGTGCTATTTTATTTTAACAGTAACTATGCCTAAGCTATATTTTAGATTGATTAAATCTCAACATTTTATGTTTAACCAGAAGCAGATTTTCTTTTTTATTCCATTATATAAAACTAGTCCCAGTAGGCATTTCTTCTGATCCAGTTGTTTTGCTTGTATAATTCCACTGGAGATGTTGTATTAATGAGATCACTGTGAATAAAATACATTGCACATTAAATGTGCCATTGTGGTTTCTCCGACCAAATGAATTGGACAAATGTAGCGTTACAGTAATTTACATTTCCTACCCAGTTGAAAATTCAACAATTTATTTGCTCCACAGTTTTAAATAATTACTTTTTGCAAACAGCATCACAAATTGACTAGTAATAACATAAGCATCATGCAATATGTTCTAAAATATTTTTCAGATTTGTATGAATGATCATTGCATGAAAAATTGTAACTAAATTTTTCTAGTGTATCACATTTCAAAGAGACCAATCCAAGGAAGTGTTTAATGGCAATAACAAGAAT